AAAGCACACGAAACGCCATTGTTCTTCTGCCCAATTTCTGTGTTCAAGAGCCCATTGATATCGAATCCTACGATTGTGCATTGCTATAGGTGGTACCCGTAGCGGTCTTCGGGAATGAAGGTTCACTTCATGCAAGCGGTTTCTGACTGTTTGGTCGCTAATTAAGTTCCCTGAAGAGTGATGAAGCCTCACGGCTAACATCATGGCGGTTATTGTTGGAGCTCTTCGAGTTAAGATTTGAATGTATCGGTCTTGTCTCCGTGTGGTGCAGCGATACCGTCCTCCATGGCGCTCAGCCACGGTACCAGTGCTTCGGTATCGTGTCCAAAGTCGACTGATAACACTCTGACTTGTATTCAGAGCTAAAGCCACAGTACGTTGCCGGGAACCAGCTTCTATCATTCCCACGGCTCTGAGCATTTCTTCCCTGCTTAAATGACGTCGCCGCTCCATAATAACGTTGGTTTTAATCAGTAGTAGGGAAACAGTAGCACTAATAATGTCTTCAATGCGTTGTATGTTTTTATAGGGAAAATATTGACAGCTGATTTTCATCTTTTACTCGAATTTGATTCACAGTTCCTGATTCAAATTATGAAATGCACCAAAAAGGATCCATATAAATTTATAAAATCATAAATTTATTACAAAGCCACATCTCAATCTCAAGAAATCCGCATAAAAATGCTTGATCACTAGACACTTTTGATGTGTGTACATCCATATACTCGTAGATGCAGAAAACATTTTTTGACAATCGTGTAAGAATAATAAATCAGCTGTAAGTATCTTTCTTTATTAATAACCACATTTGCTCATTATAATGGTTTTATTTATTCACGGCCTTCCATTCCATTATCAATCGGTAATCTGTCAATGTCAAGTGGAATGTTTTGCAAATAACTTGCGGCAACATTGTGCGGTGAGTTTTCTGAATAAAATATAGCCGCCTGCCCAAGAAAACAAAAGGGAAAGGAAGTCCTCAGGTAGCTGTTGATATTTTTATTATAAATACGAAAAAGATAATGTTTTTTTGTCTATTCCAACAACACAGTAGATCGTATCCATACTTATTGACGTTACTATACCTATCTTGTACGTGTATGTCATCTAGAAAGCCACATTTATTTTATTTATCTTATAACTTGGGCTTTGTTGTAATTAGAATTAAACTATGAATTAAATTGAATTATATCAATTTAAAAAGTATGGACAACTACGTAAAGAAGGAAATATTGCCGAATAAAACCACTTGCCCAATAATTCGCTTAAAAATGTCAAACCAAACATTTATTATTATGAAAAGACTTTCTAATAACAAGCAAACTACTATTTGAATTTGCAATTAGACCTTTGTTTTCAATGCAATATATCAACTTATAGATAAAATTGGATTAGTAGTTTAATTTCAAAATTACTTTTAAAGTCGTTAATGTAACAGAAACTCTTTTACTAAGAAAATAAAAATAAGGTGCGTCAGAAATCAAATTGTCTTCAAGTACATATACGAATAGTTATTATAAAAAAGAAGTTATTACCTTCCAATATAATAGAATGTATGACCCGTAAGTTGCTCTACTTTTACGATCGCAGAAAGTAAATTAGGTTAGAAACCGAATAATGACAAAGTTTTTTTCGTAGTCGTACATAGTTAAAGTAGGTATCTCTTTCATAAAATGTTTTAATGATTTGGATTGGGTCAAAAGCATGTTTATATCAATAAGTACATTGACTTAAGTAGGTATCACTTCCATAATAGTTATTCATGCATCTGTTGTATAATGAGGGGTATGAAAACACGAAAGTGGGCTTATTAATGTCCAATTGTGACTAAAGCTAATTGTGGGCATGCACTATAATTTCAGCGGACCACTTTTGAGCCGCGAGTGTCGTATCTTCTCTTTTTGTTTTAATCTAATATAGGGGCGCGTATTCCATTATTTTCATATTTTCCATAAATAAGTGGAATAAAAGCTCTCTGTAAACGGCCAATTGGTGGACTTCAGTGTTTCCAGGTAATGTGGGTAAACTCGACACCAGTGACGGGTGGAGTGTGCGGTGGTAAAATGGTATTGTGGTTATTAACTGGAACAATTCCTCTGGAGCATTCACATGAAGGACCCTGTAGAATACACATAGGCAAACAAAGTCCCTGCACAGTTCTAAGGCCAGATTTTCCCCTAGCTTGGAATCATCGATAATCCGAATCGCACGTCTTTGTATAGAATCGAGGGGATCCAGCTGCTATTTGGGAGTTCCAGCCCAGAGATGTAAGCAGTAATCCATGTGAGGTCTAATTTGTACCTTAAAGTTTCGCTTTTTAGAAGTCAGTTTGTCCATAAATAAGTGGAATAAAAGCTCCCTGAAAACGGCCAATTGCTGGACTTTAGTGGTAATGTGGGTAAACTCGATACCGGTGACGGGTGGAGTGTGTGGTGGTTAAATGGTATTGTGGGTATTAACTGGAACAATTCCTCTTTGGCCTAGCCCTCTAAATGGCTTCTAGACGTCACACGACATATCAACACCTAGTATCCCAACGCTATTGGAATTATGCAACGGGTCTCCTTGAAATTGTAGTGTGACAGCAAATGAGTCCTTCTTTCCAGTAATTATGCTTGTTTCTTGTTAGGGTTTAACGAGACAGGGTTCCGACTTCCCCATTCGGAGACTCGCTCAAGAGAACTCTCCAACTCTGACACAATAGGGATATTTGGGTGGCCAGTATACCGCGCATCACACGTGCTGTCATCTGCATGCATACTGAGAACTAACGGCATGTCATTGATATGCAGGCTGTATTTTAGTAGGTTAGTCATATAAAGAAAAGTGTGTAAAAATTTATGTTTTGTTCACGAAGATATGAATATAAACACTCGGCGCCCCGGCTTCTGAAACCAATAATATGTGAGACGCAAATGGTAGCAAGGTAAGCAATAAATAATAGTTGGTTTGTTTCTAATGTTTTCATTTTAGTTTGTTGTATGAGATAAAAATGTCATACATTTTATTTTGTTTCATATTAATTTTGTTAGGATTCAGTGTGTTCCAGTGCCACCAAAGGTTTCATGTTTTGGTACAAAACTTTGGTAGGAAAACCACATGAATGCAGTAAATATAGTTAGATATTTGATAATGAGAACCTCCTCCGACTTTATCGGTTTAAAGAATGGGTAGTTTCTAACAACCATAATCCTACGTACCTATAAAAAGGAAAGTTTTTTTTATTTATTGCTTGAACTCGATTAGAATGAAATCTGGTTTATATTAAAGGTAAACCTAGATGTATATAGATCTAGATTAGAATGAAATGATAGATATACACAAGAGGTTACTTTTTATTCAGGTGAAAGATTGAAAGTGCGAGCAGAAATCGTTAAAAAACAAACGCCCACGTAAACATCGTTTTTAGGATCCCGTACCTTAAAAAGAAAATCAGAACCATACTAAGATCACTGTATAAAAACTTGAAATTTAACGTTGTGCATTTTTGTATTTTGCACGAATTGCTTTAATTATCAGTATAAAAGTACTATCATTTATGTGGTATGTATTCTACCATATACATTTGTTTATTGCGCTATCGTACACAAACATGTCAATTTCTACTATATTAAAAAGTTTATCTCTCAGAAAAATCAACTTACATGAATCACACTTAAGCGCACCTAGCGACATCTATTGGGATTTGCCACCTGGACGTCCTACATAGAGACTTATTATTATAATACGATAAAATAAAATATTACTATGTTTCGTCCAATATATTGACCTTTCCAATTTTATTGTTTTCGTCTTACGAATTTTCGATTAGGTCACGTGTCCTGACGCGATCAGACCACGTGTCCTGACGCGATAATGCGTCCAGCACCGCGCGGAATCGGTCTTCCAGGAGGCCCAAGGTGATCGCCATCACCTTGAATGGAGTCCGTCGGAGCCTTGCTACGGCTCCGGAGCCGGTCCCTCACTATGTCGAACTCTGCGTCCGACACGGGGGGACCAGCGGCCCACGCTTCCGGAGCAGAACCGGAGGGCATCCTGGGGGGCTCAAAGGGGCTGGGGTTGGGAAATAATGTCCCCAGCACCCTTCGCAACAGTGTTGGCTCCATACAGGACGTGGAGGGGGCCGCCGAAGCGAATTCCCCGCATCGTCCTGTACGGCTTCCCCCAGGAGTCGCTGCAATTTTATTGTTTTCGTCTTACGAATTTTCGATTAGGTCACGTGTCCTGACGCGAGATTAATAGTTTTACCCATTACGAAAAAGGTGTACAACGCCGCTAAAGAAGTTTTCACTTGTAAAATTCTAATAATCACAGTTTGTTGTGAATATTCATTTACAGACGTGTGCGTGTGTGTTGCTTATGTAATTGAGCCGTAGCATATTTTATTTGATGCTAGTATGAGCGTATCTTCCCTTTTTGTTTTATTCTAAGGACAGAGGTATGTTTGTTCACCACCTATGAAGTTTTATAATTAAAGATACGTCATACACGCTTCTAATTTGGCAATGCGGAAATCAGGTAATTGCCCGACTTGCATTTAGGCAGGCATGCTCTCTCGCCGCAGTTACACTTTGCTACGACGACGTGTAAATATTTTATGATTTCCCAGACAAAATCCCTATGTGGGTTTTTAGATAGTACAAAAATTACACGGGTACTATTAGAGACAAGAAAAACGTGTTATTTTATTCGTTACTTTGACAGTTGCTGGCACCGTTGATGCATTTTTTAGCCTCCACGTCTAAAAAATGCATTAGAGTGAAAGAGACTTCTTTAGTGCGCTCTATTGGCGGCTGTTGCCAAGGGAAGTTGGGGCGGGGACTGTTTGTGCCATTTTGAAATGCAATAATGTTGGCGTATAACCCAAACACCACCGTTTTTAGAAAAAAATATCCCAGTGCGTGAATTCGATTCATGGTATGCCAAATCTACTTCGTCATAAGTTCTACTTGTGTCATTATACACACATGTAATAACTACTCGTTTCATTGCCGCAGGTTTCTGATGGTGTTCATGTGTCTGTCGCTGTCTGTTTTCTCCACGATCGAAGAGTACGAGGCCAAAGCGGGGATCGTTCTATTCTACATGGAGACCGTCGTCGTCATCTGGTTTGCCATCGAGTTCTTTCTAAGGTAAGAGTACATAAAGTTCGATTTAAACTTTATTGTGAAATTAGCAGCGATCGCAATAAAATTTTAAGATTCAGTGTTATCAAAATGTTTACAGAATCAGTTTCATCCAGCGCATATATATATATATATATATATTCGCTTAAGGCGCCTTTGCATTGCAACTTGCTTGTATGCAAGGTACAAATTGCATACAACTTGAACAAACTTGCATATAAGCTACAAGTTATAAATAAAGAAATAACACACACACACACACCAATTAGTCTATCGCCAAAGTAAGCGCTGTAAGGCTTGTTTTATGGAATACTAGGGTAACAGATAGAATACATACACTGATACAATATACCTGTATGTATATTTTTATTTAGAAATACATATAAACATCTATGACTTATACACAAATGCTCGTATTCATCACACAAACATTTGCTCCACCGAGATTCGAACCCGGGACCTCTGAGTAGACGAAACCTTGATACCGGCGTACATACCACTCAAGCCACGGAGGTCGTCGAAAATTGCCTGTAGGTTTTATATTTTTAATAAGTGACGCGCAAATTGAATACTCATTTGGGAACATCTCCCCTTATATGCAAAGTAAAACCCGCATGCACATTTGCACACTCACGAAAACATATTTCCAATGCAAGCAACTTGTACCCAAATTTGACTTCATAGTTCCATGCAAGACTTGTCTAATAAACTCACGGTTCACAGATTGGAATCGCATTATACAGCGTAGAATGAACCAATAATATCTGTAGTAATAACGAAAATAACACAGGCACCAAATTATAATGTGCTTACCTATTGGGGGTCGGGAATATCGTGTTGGCGAATCTGCTGTGCTCCGGTTAACCCGTTATTAACTTATTATGGAGGTAGCCAAGGATTTCCGAATGAACTTAATTACCAATTACATTTAGGAAACGTATAATTTCTCCCGGAAATGTATGTAGGTAAAATTTATTTTTCACATCTCCTAGCGTCTTTAAGCATTGCTTATTTATGCATTATATGTTTTCTAGGTCTATATTAATAATAATAAAAACCTGCATTTCTTAAAAATAATTACAATTTTATCTATTTGTTTGTGTCTTCACGCAGAGTTCCAGGTAGGGAGAGCAGAGAGAATAGATCGCCATAATATTTAATTAAGTTAGCCACGACCGGAGGTCTCAAAAAAAAACCAATTTTATTTTACTAAAACTAACTTTAATTTCCGATACAAGGAAAATTATTACAATTAAAATATAATCTAATTATTTTAAGTCACGACTCGATCAATGTAAGAATCGAAGTGACGCTCCTCGTCCGCTCACGTAGCCCGCTGCGGTGGAGGCACGAGGCTCGTAGTCAGCAGTTTACGCCAGTTGCGTCAATTGCAGCGACCGATATGCGATCTTTCGCTGAATCAGCTTTTAGGGCCGTGTGCACTGATTTGTGGGTGACTGCTAACTCGGCGTATTCCCTTCTACGTAGAATCGTAACATCTCCCTCCCGAAGAGCAGCAACTATTTTTGGGAAAGTCGCAAAAATGTTGCTGGATGCTGGTGTGCAGGCTTTGCAGGTCCTGGTGTTGCATACGTAGAGTCAAGTTTGGGCTGCTCTAAATCGGTCTTCGGATCTGCATCCTTATTCTTGTAGTACGTCGCATACTTTCTGTACAGGATGATAGTAGCGAGTACACGAGTACAATCATCAGCACTACATAAAATGGCAATGTAGTGTGGTAAAGTGAGTCTGTAGAAGTCTCATTGAGATGAACTGCAGTTGAGATGAGATTTTATCTTGAATTGTTCGAAGATCTCTAAGGTTTATTTATTTATTTATTCATTTATTGCATGTCACATAACATTCATGGTGGTACATTAATTTATGTAAAGTAAATATGTGACGCCCTGCAAGGGCATAGCAAATATCAAGCCAGAGGGCTTGTTAAATAATTATATTATAATACTTAGTTCACATTTCATTTTTACACAACAATTATATTTTATAAAATAGATTTAACAATTTCTATAAACAACAATAATAATAATTTAATTTTTACACAACAAACAATTCAATTTTATAAACTAGATTTAACAATGTTAATAAGCAATAATAATAATAATGAAAATGTCAACTTTAAAAATTAATTACATTTGTCGTCAAAAAATTCTTTAAAATTATAAAAACATTTTTGGATTAAATATGATTTTAATTGATTGTTGAATTTGGCTGATATTTCTACGTTCTTTATATTATTAGGTACATTATTATAGATTTTTATTGTCATAGCATGAGGACTATCCGAAACCAATCTTAATTTGCTGTATGGCACTTCTAATTTATTCAAATACCTATTATTACTTTTAACATTTACTGTTGGTGAATAAAATTCTGGGTGTTTTCTTACAAATTTACATGATTCAAGGATGAGTATGGATGCAAGGGTCAAAATTCTATGTTTAATAAAATAAGGTCTACATGATTCCATCTGATCAATGTTTGTCAAAATTCGTATGCATTTCTTTTGCATTATAAATAATTTGCCTACGTCAGATGAGCTTCCCCACAAAATTATACCATATGATAGTATTGAATGAGCAAATGCATAGTAAGCAGTAAGAGCGGATCTAAAATCAGTCACACGTTTTAAATGTTGAAGTGCATAAACAAAAGATGACATCTTTTTTAACAGCTTTTGTATGTGGCATTTCCAGTTTAAGTGTGCATCCAACTCTATACCCAGCAAAGTAGCAGTATTGACAACATCAATCTTTTTGTCTCTTTAACTGTACGATATGTCTAGTGGCACTTTTTGGTAAGGTCCGAATTGAATCAGTTTAGTTTTGCTAAGATTGAGTTGCAAATTGTGTGATTCTAGCCATTTAGTAATTTTATTAAGGGTAGAGTCTAGTTTAGGTTGTAATTCTGAAGCACTTGAGCAAGATATTGAGATAGATATATCATCAGCAAACAGCACACACATCTCCTCCAGTACATTGGGTAGATTATTAATATAGGCAAGAAAAAAATGACATCCCGAAACGCTACCCTGCGGAATTGAACCAGTTACATGAATTAAATCAGATTTAGTATGTGTAATTTTACCTGTCTCAAAATCAATATTTTCAATTTCCACGTATTGGTAACGATTTTCAAGATAAGATTTGAACAATTCATGAGGCAATCCCCTAATCCCTATTCCATATAATATATCCAGAAGAATTCTATAACTGACCCTGTCGTAGGCCTTGCTCATGTCGAGAAGAAGGCCCACCGCGTACTACCTATTATTTATTTGTTGGTAGACGTCTTTTATAAATTTATAAACTGCTAGGATAGTGGAGTGATTTTTCCTAAAGCCATTTTGGCTTTCGTGCAAAATTTTAAACCTTTCTAAAAAAGAATAAAGAAGGTTGATTGATGACAGCTTCACAGGAGGCGATGCAGCGCTATTTGGGGTACCGTAGTCTGAGATGTTCAAAATTTTCATGGGTTGTCCTTCAACTCGATCGTTGGTGTTATAGATAGTTGATTCCTTCGTCCTTATTGAGCATTGAGATGTAATAGTGATGAGGTAACTTCCTTTCAGCATTTGATAGTCGTTACGTTCGCAGATCAGTTGAACTTGCGTGGGACTGGGAAACATGGCGACGTAGTGGCGATCGTCTAGTCTCTGGATGTCTTCCCTCAGGATACGAACGGGTGTTGGTTGGCAGGAATCATCTAGTCGTTGGTGGTAAAGGAGTTCCTGGATGCAGTCTGGATTCGATCTTAGTCGTTGGTGCAATTTCTCATAGCAGAGATACCGAGTGTTGTATTTCGGGCATTCAGCCTCAATGTACACATAAAGATTCTCATGGGTTGCTACTAAAGGATAAGGAAGGATGAGGACTCGGTTATCCTTATTAGGTGCTATAGGGAACTTGTAAAGTTGGTAAGAAAGAGGCGATATTATTGGAACTTTAAAAACTATAAAATAAAAGGTTACCCGAATAAAAGGATCCTGTTTCTATAACATTATAATATTCTCTAAATTCTAAATTTAATAGCTGGTCCTTTTTATAATAATTGAGTAAATCTTTTAACATTAGTTTTAACGTAATAATGCCTAACATTGAATGATGTGCGCTTGCTGTACGTGTAAAAGCAAGGATATTTTCTATTCGCTGTAACTCAAGAGATAAGTTATCAATGTTGTCGGTGATGATACTAAGAAGTTGTGCTAACTTTGCATATTTTATTAGACTGTGCTTAACATACGCATCTGTATCTAAGAGCAAATTTAATGTCTCATCAATTTTAATTTGATTTTGTGCAATACTGGATATAATGTTAGTGTGGTGAGCCATCCATTCTTTTCTAAGACTCATATGACTATTGATTTGAGAACTGATTTTATCCTGATTATCCTTCAGACTTTTTATGGCATTGTTATATTTTATAGCATCAGTATAGTCTAAATTTCCAGTTAGCGATTTTATAACCGATCCCATTCCATCTACAATACCGCGCTTTGCTCGATGGGGTTCTAAACTCTTTAGTTGATAGGATAGTCTATTTGAATTTCAAATAAAATGTGTGTGTCATTAGGCAACTTATTTTCTAGTTCTCTTAATTGACCTCTAACTATGCTTATTTTGTTATGAATATCGGTTAATTATATGTATTGCAGGAAGCTATGGGAATGTGTTATTAAGTTCATGGGTCCAAGTCTAAACGGTAAAAGTCCAGGGCCGTCATCCAAACTTTCAAGTCTTATCTCCTCCGCTAGTCCCAGGGTCAAGGTTAGAGTCAGCGTTATCCTGTAACAATTTAGCGCTATTTGGTACACGTTTTAATCTAGATTTTGCTATGGGACCGCGTTTCTTTAAAGTATAAATATGTATAGGTAAGTCAGCTAGTACTTTGTCGTGAGTATAACGTAGGGCTAGTTTTTGTCGGCTTGCTAAAGGATTCGAGATGAAAACTTGTTGCTGAGGCTGATACTGAACCCTGAACAATCAGGT